ATGATAGCAAGAAGTCTTTCATTTTAACAGGTTTAGTTTGGTCATTGACTTCCGTGTTAAAAAGTACGTGAAAAAATTGAATATATAAGATTGCATTTAACCTGCCAGATGCATGGAAGAATAATTCCATTATGTGTTAGGGTTCAGTTCTTTTTTCCTAATATGATTCTCAGGGTAATAAATTACTATTTTATGCACAGGACAGCTAAATCTGTTTTATACCTTATGCTTTTTTATTTACTTTGTTGCAAATTGGAGATAGTTCAGTTTAAATAAATGGATCTATTTTGCTGTGGGAGCGGATTTTCTTTTTGCTTTCCTAATACTTCTCCTTGGCTGTCACATTTACTTGTAGGAGACATTTTGTAGCTTTCAGGGGTAGAACCTGCGATTTTATGTTGTTGGTTATATGTAAGTTTTACCCTTTGTTTGCTTGAATGCCCCAGCTGTTCAAGTTCACTCTTGATCACTAGCACATGAGACTTGTACCTGTGCCCTGGTTGTCCTTAGCATCCTGTATCGCAATGCAGGAAGCTCAATGCATTACCAGGAGCTGGGATGTGGATGATTCTTTGCCTCAACTCTGTAGCTTTTTGCGTTGCAAATGTGCAGTCATAATTGTATCCTCTAGAATAGTGTCATTTGGGGAGAGTTTGGCCATTGACAGACTTGTGATCTCTTCAGTTGTGGCTGTTCCTTTTTCTGTTGATTGTTGTTGTTAAGTCCCAACTGAATATCTGCACATACAAAGAAGTATCGTTGCGTATGTTCAACTTCTTATTATGCTCCTCCTTCTTATTATACTCTTCCTAGTGTTTTCTTAGTCCCTAGGGAATCCTCTGTGACCACAAATAGCACAGATGAGCTTCCCATCTTTGGGTAAATAAGAAGGGTCAGCACACCTGAATGACACTCATGGTCAGAAAACCCATTGTTTTTATCGTCATGTCTCCCCATTGGAGGTACTGAGTGAGGGGGCTGTGATTAGATTGGATGCAACCCTTCTTGTGTCCAAATGATTTAGGTCCTGAGAGCACCAAGCAGCTGTTTTGTGAATGAGACTGGGACTCCTGTGTAGTCTCTGAACCCCAAGAAGGGGGGTATTTCAGGCTGTGGAGAGTGACTGTGTTTCAGCTGCATCCATAATCCTCCTCCTGCATAAATGTGCCTTCAGAAGCACCTGACTGGTTTTTAAGGGAGTAACTCACCATGGAATATATATAGTCAAATGCTTATGGGGAAATCAAGTGACATGCTTGGTAGTAGGTGGTGTTCAAGGTGTGCTATCTGTGTAGCTTTTGCCATCTAACCACTGTCATGGCCAGGGAGGGTGGATAAGGAGCCAAGCGATGGCTGATTTTATGTCCAACAGGAGTCCAAAGCAGTGTGTACTCCAGCTCTTGGTGCTGGAGTACTGTACCTGAGGTGCTGTACCTGAGTATGGAGAGGACATGATGCCGAGGGTACTGGAGTTGCCTGAGCTCCAGTTACTGTCAGTTAGGTTGATCTGTGGGATGGGGAGCTTACATTGTTCTAAACTGTTGCTCATATATTTGGTCTGCCTCCAGGTGTCCTTGTGCAAAACCCTGATTAACCTTGCTTTGGAAGGCTTGTCTTATTACCATACTTACGATAGATTGTTCCTGGGTCTAAGTATTGCAATGAGTTTTGTGGGCTGGACGACTTATGTGATTTTGGTGATTATCAAGACCCATACCAATTTGACCAAGACTGTCCCAACTAATAATCAGGTAGGTTGGAAATATGCAGTTATTTTTTTCTATCAGTTTTCAGCATTATATGTGTGCTCAGTGGCTCTGGGGGGGACAAACTGCACACCTTACATTTCTTTTGACTTCATGTGGAAACTGGCAAGCTGTTGAGTTTTCCAGCCTTTGTAATCCTGTGTAGTGTTACTGTTTGGTCCATTTATTAGGATCTGTACTCCTGAGCCATACAAGTCTGAGTATGCAATACTGTGCTTCCTCAGTTTCTTCCTTCCTACAGCTTTTTATTTTACTAGATGCTAATGCAACTGTAAATAAACATAGTGGTCTAAAACTGGTAAAGGGTCTGTCTTGAATCAGGAGCCAATCTTCAGCATTGATTTCAGTGAAGTCAGCATTCTGTTGTAATACTACTCGTTTGGAAGAATGGTCTTCCAGTTTAATTTTTGTTCTTTACTGTAAAAAAAATTAGTATGTAAATTATGGTTATTCCTGTCCTCTTCACCAATTTTAAATCAGTTTTCAGAAACTGTGCAGTCCAGTCATGGCATTTTTAAAATATATAACCCATTTTAATAGGTGAGCTGTGGTTTCACAGAGCAACCTGCTCTCTTGCTCTTTATGATTTGCAAGGGTGCAGCAGAAGACATCAAAGATGAAGGAAGGTCTTTTTGATAAGATTATTGTTTAATTTTTCATGAAGTAGAAAATCCTAGGAAATTAATTTACTTTCAGTCATTCATCAGGAAAAAAGATACTTCAGAAAGGTGAACAGGCAAAGAGCTGTCATTTCACTAGAGAAGGATTAAAGCCTTCAGTGGGGAAGGGAAATTCTCCCAAACTTCAAGAATCTGTTTCAGAATAAAAGGAATTTTTTCATTTGGTAAGTAAATGAAAATGAGCACTCACCATCTTTACTGCCTTCAACACATTACTGTGAGAAAATTCCTATCATGCTATCTTGAGGCTTCTACTACTGCCTGAAATGAGATAGTCTTGGCCTTTAATGAAAATGATCAAATGAAATTAAAATGGAAAATATTAATAAGTGCTGTACTGCATGATTTAGGTGTTCTTTCATCAAATAACTGAGAGGAAATAATCCAAGATGCATAATGTGTTAGATATGAACAAAATTATCACAATAGATAAACTGAGGATCAGGCATATTAATAACTACATTAAGGAAAATGTTGCATTTTTAGTTTTACATAGATTTTCATTTGGTATATTGATTTTATTTGTGGAAGATGTATTTTATGCTAGTAACTGGCAGAAAAAAAAAGAGCTTTCTTTGTTCTTTGTCTATAGAATTTCTCTTTCCTCAGTTTTCTGTAGAAAATTTTTTAATGTTCCTAAATACTTAACTACAGTGTAAGGCTAATGCTTCATATATGGGAGTTATTTTGTTTATAGCTCATATTGGAGCTACTTAAAGGATTTTGCTGAGAAACTAATCTACCACTGACAAATAGTCTCCTGCAAAGCACAACCTTGTAAAATCAAGGAGCTTCTGAATAATGAAACTCTATATCCTGTATATATCATCTTTAAAAGTTTTTGGTTTCTTATGCTGCATATGAAAAAAAGCTTTTTTTCTTTTGGTGTAGTGTGCTCTTTTGCTTAGCAGGAAGCATAACCTTTTAATCTATTTTAAACATCCGCAGTAAATGCAAATCTGGTTTCCATTTTTAATGCATGACTGACTCTATTGGATTCTATAGTATTTATGTCGCTATATGGAATAAAATGTTGATTGTATGTGTTTACTCATTCAATGATAAATTATATTGTGTGCCTAGCATATATACATGTTCATTCTGTCTATATGTCAGCAAATGTAAAGTTTAAAACTGATAAAGCAAAATTGCACTGTCAGCTTTCCATAAGACATATCTTTTCTTAATTTAATGGCATATCTTAGGAGAAATTCTATTTTAAAAATCATTTAGAACTTGCATTTGCTGTCAGTTTAGATCAGGGCAGTTGTATGTCAGTTACAGGGAGGGGGAGTTAGACAAGATGTTAATCCATCTATGTGAACTGGTAATTGATTTTTCTTTTCAGCATATTTAACTTAGTTTTGTGTCTGTCTACATAACTCTTCAAAGAAACTAGCATTTGTGAAGAAGAAAATAGTGTCTTTGTCATTACCTACACAGTACACTAAGACTGCTCAGTCACTAAAGCTGTCTTTGCTATGTCAAGTTGCATTACCTACAGATAAAATTGTTTATTTAAAACTTGTACATAATCTTCCATTACCAGTAATTCTTCTGATATCTGAATGTCCCCAAATAAGAAAGAGTAGTTCAATGACCAGATAAAAGGCAGATACAGAGTGACTGTTTAATGCTCCTCTTTGCACAAACAAGAGATTGCTACTATCTGATGATCGAGAACTGACCTACCTATCATAGATAACCCATTTAAAAAATTTCCTTTCTCTTTTTGATGTTCCTCCTTACAGTGCTCTCAGTCTGAGCATGTATTTCTTTGAGTATATAACGTTCTAATCCTACATCTAATTTATTTTTTTTAAGAAAAGCCTGAAGTAGGAGTTTCAAGTTGGGATTAAGTATATTAACAGTTATAGCCATGCTACTTTTTAGTGCAGTGCTAGTCCTCTGTTGTATTTTGAAATTGTTGGTTCTGTGAGTAAGACAGTTTCTCCTGTGGGAGTTTGGTCACAAGCCTCCTTCAGTAGCTGTTCCTAGATCCTGAATAGTTGTGGATTTTTCCAGTAGGAGCTAGTACTTTATATTTTAATTTAATTAGTTCTCTTACAAATGTCTCAAGTAGTAAGAGGAAACATCCTGATGGAATTTTCATTAAACACTTTGACCGTAATGCTATGACCTTGAACTCCAAAGGCTCTACTCCAAGTCTGTTTTTAGAATCTAAACTTGAGAGTTCTTTTTTCCAAGACCCTTAGCATCTCTGAACGCAGATGGATTTCAAGTCTCCATTGAACATAAATAGCATTGCATATACTGGGCTTCCAGTTTGTACAGGTTTGCTTTTCCAGGGCAGGTTTTACTTCAGGAACTTATGAAGAGTCGTATTTAGAATTAGCTTTTCAAATCCTGCTGTTGGTTGGGTTTTTTTAATCTGACTGACAACTTTGTCCAGAGTTGTGTACACAGACACATGGCAGGCTGTATTAAAATAACATTTGTTTTACTGTGTAACTAAAAAATGGAAAATAGTGTGTAGTTTAAAATATGTTATTGCTGTTTCAAGAATGTTTGTCCAACTGTTTGTTTTTCAGAAATCTACTGTTCTCTTCTATGGTTTTGCCTTTGCTGGAATGATAATAGCTTTTTTCCTGTTGATTCAGACATGTCCTTGGACATACTATGTATACTGTCTCTTGCCAGTACCAGTATGGTATGCAGTTGTGAGAGAGTAAGTAAAGAATGCAATTTGTGACTACTGTTTTACGAGACCAGGTCTGGGCATTCTTTTTGTTGAGAGTTAAATTTTTCCTATAACTTTGGAAAAAAGTTAGATACAATTCTATTAAATTTCATTAAATGTTTCCTGAGCCATTCTGAAGGACTCTGGTTTATATTTCAGTTGACATCGAGTAGTTCCCAAACTGACTGAGGCAGCTGCCAATTCTAGAAGATGCCTTTTCTATTATGATAAATAAATTGAAGTATTTCCAAGACAAAATGTTTTTAGTCCTCTTGTAGCTCTAGTAAAAGAGTGCTAAAATCTTGGGCAAATACCTGTAGCAGCTGATTTCTTTTGTAAAATGGGACCAGCTGTTCCTTTTCTTCTGTAATTTCGAAATAGTCGAATCCTGCGAAGTGTCAAGTGTGCTGTATGCCAGCTGCTCTTGGAGAACCTGTACCAGTCACGTTGAGGAATGTGCTCCCATATTTAAACAAATTTGTTTTGTTTGGGTCTCATTTTACTCCAAACCCCAAAGTACTTATTACCTTCTGATTCCTATTACTTTCCTAATCTACTGGCGATTTGTAGATACCACCTCAGTATTATTCAGAGAAAATGAGACCAACTGCAGTTAGATAATGAACTGTCTCATAAAACACAGGAAAAGCTAACAGGGATTTTTTTTTCTCTCTCTCTAAACCCTCTGAATGTTTCATCAGTTATGACAGACATTAAGCAAAACATAACCAAAAATATTCATAAACTCAGAGTCAATTTGGATAGAGAATAATCTGAGGCTTGTCCAAATAGGGGCAAAGATGTGCCAGAATTGGGAGGAAAAGAGCAGGAGGGGTTTATTGATTTTATATCAAATAAAGCTGGACAGAAGGATCCTCTGGCCATCCCCCACTCAGTTTCCAAACAGCAGGCATGACCAACAATATCTGTAATTTATTTTGTGCTCTGACCCCTTCCTTGCCCTTCAAAGGTAAAATCTATGTTATTTCTGTTTTTTAAAAAATAAATATTATCTTGCTCCATCATTTTTAACAGAATTCCTGTTATTCAAGACCTTGCCGCAAATGTCTTGTCACTTCGTATCAGTCAGTCTATAGGATTCCTCTTGGTTTGTATACTGGGAATTGAAATACTAGTAAGTATTTTATCCATATGTATCAACAGGGTATCTCATTGCTAGCATTCTAACTCTTTGAGAAATGAATGTCTCTGATTTTCAGTCTTCTGTTGGATTTTTTTTTTCCTGTTATTAGGTCTTCAGCTTTTTCTACCGCTCTGCGCTTACTGTTGGTCTTCTTGTCTTTGCTGGCTGGCCAGTGATCACACAGCTCTGGGTTCAAGCAAAGGTACTGTATTGCTTTGCTTAAGCAGAGCATTTTAAACTGTGAACAGCTGGATTGCATCTTAGCTTGTTGGATCTGGTCCCTTTGGAATGCTGCTTTAGGTTCCTGTTCAGTTTATGTTCTTATTGTGATCTCTGTCATGAGCAGCATGCAGCAAAGCAAGGAAATTTAATATGATCTGGAGAGATCTGTGATACAACATAGGTAATAACACTGCTTAAGAATTTTGGGGTAGCTATGAATTAGCTATCAGTTTTCGGTTGTTAATAACAAAAAAATGCTTGACTTAATCATATGAAGTGCACATCATTTATCAAACTGTCACAGTGACAGTAGTGTTGACATGTGCAATTGGTCATCATTTAAGTAATAAGATCACTTATTAAAAAAAGGAAAAAAATTTGAAGATAACTGAAAAACCAATTGTCAATTCATCCTTGTCTGCAATCAGCTGTCACACATTGTTCCTCACAGCGAGCTTTCTGTACTGTTTTTCCCAGGAGAAAAACTCCATTTTCATAGATATGGATGTGAAACGGCACAATTTTTAATTTAAGAAATTTAATTTTATTTAATTTCTTCCATTAGTTTATTCAAACATCTCTTTTTTCATGGGATACCTAAAACCTAGGTTCTGGGGTAAAAAAAAAGAAGGAGTCAAGTTGCTAACTCTTGGTCTGCAGGAACTGTCAAGATAGAAGCTTGTATTTATTCACTTACAGTTTTTGTTATAGTTGAGTAATCAAGTAACTTGTCTTAAAGCTGGGTATGCACAGAAGATGTTTTGCAGCACTGAAATTTCCTTTCAAGAATGCCAGTTTGACTTGAGCTTGAAAACTTTAAATGATATAGCTCTTAATGGTTTTATTTAACTAAAATACCTGGAGTATGGTTTGGGGTTTAGAGAACTGCTTAGATGATTATGGTGGTTAAATCAAATGGCCCACAGATTCCAAGACTGGAAAATGTTACCATATTCTCAGAGTATTCTCTCTCAGTGCTGATTATTTAACTGCTGCGACTTTCTATGGACCTTAGTTTCATATCTTTCTTCTGTGAGGTCACTCATCAGATTTCTGGCCCCTGCAGTGTGTGTGAGTACCATGCTTTGAGAAAGTGCTTAAAGTGTAAACTTAGCTTCATTATCATTGTCTTTGATGGGATTTTGACAGCTGTGTAAATGAGATTCTTTTCTGTATTAAATTTAAGTGCTGTAATATCAATGACCCCGTGTCCCTTTTTTAGTTAATTTTACTCTTGAGAGATGCAGAGCTTTTTGCTGGTGGAAGATGCAAGTAGCCATTAGTAGTTCACTGAATATTTGTTTATGATTAGACTGTTTTCTGTTCACATGACCTCCAAAAAATCCCATTTGTTTTTCTTCTTTTAGACAAAAGCCTTGATCTGGACTCTTTTGTGTGTGCTCCTTGCAATATTTCCATTAATGCCTGTTGTAGGAAGAGAACCAAACATTCCTCTGGTGTAAGAATCTCATTTTGTTCTTTAAACTTTTTATTTCCCTCTTTGATATATAAAATTGAGGCTGCCTTTCGATATGTGTGAGGAATTGTATTATTGAAAGATGTCTGAGGCAGGAGTTGAAATTCAGAATTTAAATAACATGATTATAGAGACCTCTGTTATTCACTAATGGGAACGAGAATAGACTTTTAATTCTTTTTCCACATCCGTTTGGTCTTTCTGTTATTCTGTAATTTCTTGTCAAGGGAAACATTTCTCACAACACAAAAATTTGCACATTTTACATTAAAATAAAGGTTATCATTAAAGGAGGAGCTTCACTGGGGTGCAAACATGGTAAATAGCACTGACATGAGAACACCAATATTTAGTCAAAAGCAATTTGCTTTTGATAGTATCTTTCTGAATTCGTCCATTTAATTTTGAATAATCTGTCTTTGAATAACACTCTGTACCTAATGAGATATTCAGGGAAGTAGAAAAAATAGGATACTCAGAGCTCTCTTCTTCCTCAGTGTCTCCTTTGTCTCTTCTTTTTCCACTTCTACTTCTCCGTTCTGAATTTTCCTTTATGGTGTTGCCTGTCTGATTTTCCACAGTTGTTGATTTACATTTTTTTCTACTGCATCTTTGTCATCTCTCCCTCTCCTCTTGTGAGCTACTCTTTGATCATACAAGCCCTCTCTCATATCTGGATGCAATCCAGGTGGTTGGCCTGAAGTATTAGGCTTGTGATGTCATTGTATTTACTGTCGATAGGGACTTGAATTGACCCTGGACTGCAATGGCTCCTACTGTCTGCAGAAAACACTGTGCCCCACCAGAGCCAGGGTGCCTGATCCTCAGTGAAATATGGGATTTGAGCAGTAAAATGTGATTGCAGGTAGAATTATGAGCCCAGATATTTCCAAGATAATTCATGTTCTGCCTTGGTTTTTTTTCACCATGTTTTAAATCCACCTGTTGAAAACTGTTCTTAGCCTCAATCCTTGGGCACATTAGAAATATTCAGGACAGATTTGCCTTGGCTATATTACAACCTCTCAGCTGTATATACACATGTATGTATTTCTGCTGGTCCAAACTGAGGTTTTTCTATTCTTTAGAACATTTGTGCACAGCTTAGAAATCAGAATAGAATTAAATTACTTTCAGATCTTCCTCCCTGACATTTCTCTATATTTGCCTTGCCCTGGCTTTCTAGTTATTCTTCTAATGAAACGCTGCACCTCTGAAACACTTTGTGGTTGTCTGAATCTTTTCAAGGGAGTTTTGAAGCTGAAAAAGCTTGAAGCAACAATTAAAAATATATGTATATGTGACACTTCTAGATGTTAAAGATAAGTTTATGCTGGGAGAGAAGATACAGGAGGGAGAAATCAGAGGGCTAGTGAGAAATAGGTGCATCTATTCTTGAGCAGTGGCACTATATGTCAGGTTAGAGCTTCTCAGTACATTAATAAAACATATGGTAGGAGCGAGGAGCTCCTGACTTAGTTCAGTCATAAAAAAGAAGTATATAGGAGGTGGAAGCAGGGTCAGGTGATCCAGTAGGAATCTAGAGACACTGCCTGAGTATGCAGGATAGTTTAGGAAAACCAAAGCTCTCCTGGGGTTGAATCTGGTGTAAAGTGCATGTAAAGTGCAACAAGACAGCATATGGTATCAAAAGGAAGACTTTTGATTATATTCCCTGGGATTTTATTGTTCTTTTGTTTGCTTTTGCAGAATAGCAGCTGGTTTGCTGACCCTCTTGATCTCTTGCTTCTCATTGGCATCTCTTTGTGGAAGCAAAAATAAGTACAGAAATAATGAAGATTTGAAAGTATATTTTTATCAGGTCAGTTGCTACTTTTCAGTAATTCTCAACGTTTTACATGCAAATTTTTACTTACTTTCTAAGAGCATGTTCCTATCAAGGCCACAGTTTTCAAGAAGAAAGTTACTGTTTCTAGGAGTTTCCCCCTTGACTATTTCAAGCAAACCATGTGCACATGTGTAAGTACCAACATGGTGTGTTCCCAAAAGCCCATCCTGTGTGTATTTATATTGACTGATATATAGATGTGTGTATACATTTTGATGCTCTACTTGGAGAGTTTGAGAGTTTGTCCTGTCTTTGGTCTGTGTACATAAGTTCTAGTGACCTTTGCAGTAGTTGCCTGTTCACACTAAGGACAGGCTTGCTGGTTCAGGGGACTGAGCCAGTTCCAGTTTTTGGCTGTAGAATAACAATCTGAGACTAATGATAAGCTCGTTTTCCATTGGTTAAGTCTTTCAGATGAAACATAAGTTTTTTTTTTCTTTATAGCCTCATGAAATAAGTAAACTTTTTTCAGAGTAGCCGCTAATTAAGTTCTAGAGAGCTTTAACATTCTAATAATAGCTAACATGTCTACTGTCCTCTTTTTTTTTTTTTTCCCCTTTTCTACTCATTACAAGACAATGGTTTTATTTCAGGACTAGCTTTATTAGTTATGACTTTGTGTGTGCTGGAGTTTCTTATTGAGCTAAGCTATGCATTCATTATATCAGTGGTTTAGGTACAGAGCTCCAATTGGTTGAAAGGAGGAGGGGAAACAGTAATGAATAGTTAAAATGCCTTTACCTGAGCATGAAGGTGTGTAAAATATGGTGGTGATTTCTCTGAACTTTTACAGCTTACATGTGGAAAAGATGTGCCAGTTCTTTTCCTAAGCATTTAGAATATATGTTTCCAGTTTAGAATCGGCAATGGATTTTTCACTGGAATGCCTGAAAACAACTTGCGCTGGATGAAGGAATGAGGGAGCACCTGGGTGGGCAACCTGAACTCAGCACACAACGTGCTGCAGCACCTCATGTTGGTGTAGTTTTGTGGAGAAGCTCACAAATTATGATGATGAAGAAACAGATCTGTAGTAAAAAAGTAATGCCAGAGTGTTCTTGGGCAAACTTATAGAATCATGAAATTCACTCACAGAGGCATGAGGTACTTAATTAGATGAAAATGTTCTGCTTGCTTGTTCAGAAAGTAATGTCTTAATTTTTCTCCCAACCTTTAAGAAGACCATAAGGTTCCTTAAATTGCCCCTTAATCGGAAGATACTTTACAATAGTGACATCTAGTTACTAGTCTCTATTAGACTTTTGTTTCAGCACCTTACTTGGTAATGGAAACCATGGGATCCACCATTCATACTTTGGGTAAGGAAAGGATTGAGAGGTGAGATTATTCAGACGTAGAGGAGGGAAAGGACATTACAGAGGCATTATACGTGTTTCTAAGTAAATACCTGTTCTGAGGTTAGGTTGCATTTAGTTGCTTTGAAACGTGCAGGAATATGAAAGGAAAATGCTTGTCGGAATCCGAGTATCTCTAGGCAACAGAATTCCATCATTCTCCTTTTATGTTTTCCCTTGAGTTGGACTTCTTGGTGGGAACAGGAAGGGATAATTTTCAAAGTGCTTGTTTAGAGCATTTGGAAATCCTGAGTTTTGATTTACAGCTTCCAGACAGCTTTAAGAGTGAGATGAATCCCCTGGTCAGAGGAAACATACCCATTTTGCAGTGACAGACAGTGATCGGGGCACTGACATGCATATCCATAAGTACACTCAATCAGATACCTGCTTTGCATCTGTCAAGGGGTTTCTTATAAGTGGAAAAGGAATAGCTAGAGAGTCTAGCTGATTTTGTGGGGTTTTTTTTCCATTTAGCAAAAGTTCTATTAATCTGGCCAAACTTTTTTGCTACTTTGATCAGAATCTCATGACTTCTTTTTGGCTTTGGCTTTGTTTTGTTGTGTTTTTTTTTTTTTTTTTTAAATAATTTTCCCCTTTGTTTTGGTGGTGTCTGCATGCAAGAACCCTTTTTTAAATCTTTCATTTCACCTCACCTCAGTTTTTTTGCATCTACTGATTTGGGATAAGATGCATTTTCTTACAAGAAATAAGATAATATTTCCTAAAGGCTCAAGTGGTTCTTATTTGCCTGTGTTGTTCTTCACAAATTATTTTGGAATTCCATCTGAATAAAGACACTTCCCTTTTCAGTTCTCTTCCTATTTCACTCACAGAAAGAAAGGGATTCAGCATAGCCTAGGCTTTTTGTTGTGCTTATGATGAATTTTTTTTTCTCTTCTGTAGACAACTTTATTCTTTTTTGTCCAAGTGAGCTTCCTTTTTCATCTGGAAATTAGCCTGTAATGAAAATATCATGCCTTGTAAGGAACAAAGCTTGTTCCATTACAGTAATTGCTTTCCTTTTGGTCAAAAAGAAACCTGAGCTGGAAGATACCATCAGAGTAGGCGAAAAACCTGCCAGTTTGAGGGCAGTCCTTCGCAGAAAAGATAATTCCCTCCAATCTGGTCCTGGACGGTGTTATTTTTGTGTTGGTTCTCCATGGATGGGACAGAGTCTAAGTGGCCACTTACAAGCTGCTCATTTATTCACTGGTTTTTGTGCATACACATTGTACATTTTCAACATGTGTATTAGCCTTAAAGTAACAAAAAAGTCTTAGACAACAGAACAGCATGATCAAAAAGATTTTTCAGTAAAAGTGTGTAAATAAAGACATTTTTAAAGTAAAAATGCAAGCTTGAGTAACTTCATAGGGTTACATTTGCATTTCTGTTACAAAAACTTCAGTTATTTTTAGACCTAATTTTGAAGTTTTGATGCATGTCATGCTTGAGACAGAAGGTACTATTTACACCCTCACAGTTTTTGAAAACTGCCAGGAGTTTGTCAGGTTTTCTTTTGAGATCATTAAAGAGGGAATAACATTTTTTTACTGAATTTTGTTTCCTATGGCAAGGAATTGCCTTTTGGTGAATTCTCTCTAGTGAAGTGTGTGTTGGTCTCTTCTCCCAAGTAACAAGTGATAGGACAAGAGGAAACGGCCTCAAGTCACACCATGGGAGGTTTAGATTTAATATTAGAAAAAAATTGTTCACAGAAAGGCTTGTCAGGCATTGGAACAGGCTGCCTGGAGAAGAGGAGGAGACACCATCCCTGGAGGTATTTAAAAGACATTTAGATGTGGCACTTAGGGACATGGTTTAGTAGTGAACTTGACAGTGCTGTTAGTTGGCTCACTGTTTTAAACCTAAGCAAACCTAAGCAATTCTTTGATTCCATGATCTCTGAGAGGTCGCTAGGGCTTCAGGAGTGATGAAAACAGGAGTCATTCATAATCCTTTTGACTGCTGCAGTGCTTACTGTACAACTTAATTTTTTCGTTGGAGAGAGCACCAATTTCTCTCTGACAGCAGTTTCATAGGTGATGTCCAGTTTTTACTGCACTACTGAAAACAGTGATGTTTCCATTGCTTGGTAACGTTGGACCAAGTTATTATTCCTAGGAGCCTTGAACTTCATGTGTGTGCGAGGTGATCAGTTTATTAGTTTTCTCCTCTAAGTTAGAATTGTAGAATCATTTTGCTTGGAAGAAACCTGTAAGACCGAGTCCAACCATTAAGCTAACACTGCAAAGATCACCACTAAACCATGTCCCTCAGTACAACATATACACATCTTCTGAATAGGAGGAGAAGTAAACAGTAGGAATCCATGTTATATTGTTGGAACCAGGGGAAGGAAGGGTGTTTTCAACCAGCCTTGTGCCCAGCTGATGATTCTGGTTCTTCTACTGTTATGCCTTCGGGTCGTTTCCATGACAGATGCCTAGGAAAACTCCCAAACAGAGCTGCTGGTGGTATTGGGACTGCAGGTGTCACCCTTGGTTTGTGACCTATGGATGAGTGTGTCTCAGAGACCTGCTCTTAAGCTGTTCAGAGCTTCAGAGAAGGTTGTGAAGGATGAAGGAAGACACTTTCTTAGCTGTTTCCATCTCCAAGTTGCTTCTTCTTGGTTCAGCAGCCCTGGAGGTGATGGTAAAAGCTGAGAACAGTTTGAACATGATTTAAACTGTGGACACGGGATTCTTAAAAGCTGCTGCTGAACCCTTCCGTGGACACTGGCATAGATCTTGCAGCAGTACATTGTGTTTACTAACGTGCCCAGGTCATCACAAGTCTTCCAAGGTGCGAGATATGTTATGGGACATGACACAAAGTGAGTGCAAAGTGACTGCACCAGTGTCTAGGGGGATAGCAGAGGGATTACCAGAGCTCGTGACACTAAAAGAACTTGAAAATATGTATCAAAGGCCTGAATGCAGCAAAAGAATCCAAAATAAACATCAGAGGTCTAAAGGGTCCAATTCCCTGTGCTTTTGGATGCCTACTGTTTTGACCTTGGTTATTGATGTCACAGAGAAATACAAGGTACGTGTTCTTGTGGCCTCAAATTAAATAGAAGCAGCAGATATTGAGCACCTGTGAGACTGGCCAAAAATGAATGCTGACTTCTAAGTGTATCCTCTGAGCTGATGCCTAGGTATCACTGTGTCTAGCAGGAAAATAGCA